CGAGACGTCCTTGACCCTTGCACCAGGAGGCAACATACCACCCTGGACTATCATTTGCAGCCACAGAAACGCCTATCTATTCCCCCTCCAATTAAATCCCCTATCATTATAGCTCTGCCACCCTTTGTCCTGCCCTCCTGTGCAGCAGAGCCAGCCATGGAGCTATGAATCTGGCTGCTGCCTTCCCCTGGTGAGACATCACTCCAACAGTATCCACAATAGTATCCCTGGTTTGGAGGGAGATGACCATAGGGGACCTCTGCACTGCCTTCCTATTCTTCCTCTATCTGGTGGTCTCCAGTTCCCTATCTTTCTCAGTAATTTTTATCTGTGGTGTTATCAACTTTCCTATCCATGTTTCCCTCAGTCTTGTGAACGCTCCTAAGTGAATCCAGCCCCAGCCCCAGGGCAGTAAAGTGGAAAGACAGGAGCTGCAGCTGGACTCACTTCCTGCACGTGAAATAGTCAGGGACATTGGAAAGGTCCCTGAATTCCCAAATTGCACAGTAGGAACATGACATAGGTTTGTGATCTCCTGAATGACTTAACACTTAAGTTAACAACAATGGTAGCAAAGCCAAGAGAAAATAAGGCAAAAGAAAATCTACTTATCCCTCACTCACATACCTGCTGGCTGTGACATCACTGTTCAATTTCCTTCTACTTCTCCTTTTCCCTCATGCCTTTGGCAGCTGCAAACGTTCACTCCTCCTCCGATGGCCTTACCTCCTTGCTGATCGCCCCCCCCACACCGAAGCCTAGTATTCACCAAAGCCTACACTTAAACCTCCAGCAGCACTACAGCAGTCCTGTAAGCAGCCCCTTCTGAAAATGACCCCTCTGCCAAAGCTTGCCTCCCTTTTATTCGCTCCTGGGCAGTCACTGATGACTGAGCTGACTCATCCCAGAATATTTTTTATTCCAAAAATATACTTTATTCAAAAAATATTTTTGCACATATACATAGTCACAAATGCAGTTCTGTTCTCTACAGTGGCATATCAAGGAAACAAACAAATATTGGAGTTTGACTCTATTAAAAAAAACCAGACGTCTCTTACTCGTAAAAAAAACTTACATGTATTTGAAGCACCAAGAGGGTCCAATAACTGAGCGGACCTCCATTTATCTTCAGCAGGAAGACCTTAGATGGTGGTCTTTCCCTACTGTTCCTTGGTGGCAGCTGTCCCAACCTTTGGTGCATCCCGTAGTCCTGGATCTTGGAACGTGCCAGTCTGCAACACTTGGTCGAGGTCAATTCTTTATTCTGGAATACAAACAAGTTTTAGGCAGACCAAAGAGTGACTTTCACTGAGTTGACAATCATCCAAGTGCCATCGATGTTTGTCTCAGTGTGTGTCCCGGGGAACAGACTGTAGAGTAAAGAATCCCATGTCACAGAGCTGCTTGGGACGAACCTCGACAAACACAACTGCATCTTTCGCCACACATTTCAGAAGGAGATGCATGGCAGTCTCAACCCCACCTCGAAGCTGCTTTGTGGGTAGCTTGTGATGGCATGGACTGACCAGGCATACATGAAAGATCTCACAGGTAGTTCCCTTCTCACCACCAGCCAAGCAATGCCTTGTTGCTTGTTGGAATGATGAGGCATTCTGCCAAATGACTTTGACCGTCTGCTCAGGGAGCCACGCAACAGGATCCACCCTTTCCATTTCCCCCTGGGTCTCAAGTATGCTACGTGCTGGCCACTTCCTGATGGACTTGTACTCAAATGTGTTTTTCTTTGCAGATTTCTCTACAAAGGACAGGTGATATGGAACAGTCCAACTGTTTAGTCCTCCTCAGTTGCTTCTCATCAATTTTCTCTATTGGATGCTCTTGCACAGTTCACTGACGGCAGCTCTCCTGCGCTCCCCCTCTTTGGTCACGGTGAAGGTGCTGAGATTCCCCCAGAATCCTCCGCAATCACTTCCTAGCAGTGCCCTCTGTTGGATCCCATTGCAATAAATGATAACATTCTTCTATTTTACCGAATTTCTTGCTGCAACTACATACATTTTTGTGATTCATGTACAGATGGGTCTGTATTTCAGTACAATGTAATCTTCTTCATTTTAGATAATATAATCCATTTTTAAAATTTCTTTTACCAAACTGGCCATTTCACTTTTTCCTACATTTATAATGGGGAAACACAATATCACACCGAGATAAGATTTAATGATCCTTGACTGAGTAAAGGAGATATTAACAACGTCAAACAACAGTGTGGAGCTGGAGGATCATGGCAGGCCAGGCAGCATCGGAGGAGCAGGACCCTTCTTCAGAAGTCTCTGACTCCAGCATCTGCAGTCCTTACCATCTCCAAGTGATTAATATCATTAATCTATGATCTAGGATGGACACCTGTTGCTTATGCTTGTATGAGGTAAGATTGGAATTTGGTTAATGGAAAGCATGTATGTGATCAAAAATTGTTCAATAACACTGAACTTCTCAGAGATTTACTCCAGTTGGATTGGAATGTCACGCTTCCTGCATTTTCTTGAATAAGTGATTGCAAAACTGTACTCAGTCTCTTGTGGCCAATTATTAGAAGTCACTACACAGCAAAATTAACGATGTGGTGTGCCATCGGGATCTGTGCAGATGTCTCACACTTACAGTTTGTACGATGACTTAGATGAAGAAACCGAAGTTGATTACTTAATTCGTTTATGAGTCCTGACACAAGTTGCAAGCAGGATGTGAGGATACTACAAAGATAGATTATGTGAGTGGCCAAAGATCCAGCAAATGGATTGTAATGTGGGAAAAAGTGAAATGACCCAGTTTGGTAAGAGAAATAGAAACAAATTATATTATCTAAACAGTAGATGATTACATTGTACTGAAATACAGGCCCATCTGAATGCCGTAGTACATGAATCACAAAACGTTTTGTATACAGTTACAGCAAGTTATTCAGTAAGATAGCAGAATGCTACTATTTATTGCATGAGAGTTGAATGCTAAAGTACTGAGTTTATGCATTAGTTGTACGGGGCGTTGATGAGACCACATCTTGAGTGCCATGTACAGTATTGGTCTCTTTATTTAAGAAAAGACGTCAATGTGTTGGAATAAGTTCAAAGAAAATTTCTAAGAGTGTTACCTGGAATGTACAAGTTTTCTTCTGGGGAATGGTTGGATAGGCTAGGCTTATACCCACTTGAGTTTAGAAAACTAAGAGTCAGCTTGATTGAAACAACTAAAATCCCACGTGGCCTTGACAAGGTGAAGGAAGAAATGATATTTTGTCGTGTGGGAGAATCTAGAATGAGTATCACTATTTCAAAATAAAATGTCCTCTATTTAAGGCAGAAGTGAGGAGATTTTGTTTGGCACAGAGGGTTATGAGTACTTGGAACCCTTCTTCAAAAGTGGAAGTTGTTCTTTGAGGTAGACAGACACATCAGAAGTAATGGTTTTCAGTCGGAAGAGGGAAAGTGGAATAAACAAATTACTCAAGGAGCCTTACGGCCTACACCTGCTCTTAATTTGCATGTTTGTATGTCGAAATGTGCTGCCTGCAAGTATCATGTGAGCAGAATCAACAGCATGTTTAACAACAGAATTGGATTTATGCGTGTGAAAAAAATACAGTCCAGTGGGAGAGGAACAGTTGAGGCAGAAGAATTGGATGGAGCAGACAAAGACCAACGATGATACCTGATATGTAGTCACTAATAAATCCGTTTGGGAGTTCTGGAAAATTGTCAGAGATTAGTGCGGAAAATGACTAAAACAATTTTGATCGATTGGAAGATTGAACAGCATTTAAAAGAAAGCCAAATGTGAATACGTGGGAGAAAGTAACAGAAGAATATTCTGACGGGATTGAATAAAGCCTGATGTCAGAATCGTTTTGTGATATCACTTTTAAAAAAGAACTGGCATAGACCGGAAATGCAGAATGACCTTTCTCAACGATGAAAACCCAATACTGCTGGGAACTTTTCCTCAACAGCACTGAATGAAGGTCCTTTTTGGTCTTGAACATTTATTTTGCATTTTCCATCAATCTTCTCCGATGAGAAGACAGCAATTTAAGATTTTATTTATCTATATTTTTGTATAGAAAGTGGATATTCCTGGCAAGGCTGGTATTTGTTACCTCTCCAAATGTCCCTTGAACTGAGTGACTTTCTAGGCCATTTCAGAGGGTAGTTGTGGCTAACCATATGGCTGTGTTTCTGGGGTTTTTGCTAGGCAGTTGGGAGCAGTAGAGTTCCTTCCCAAGGAGGGTATTAGTGAACCAGATGGGTTTTCGCCACAGTCGACCCATAATCACATGGTCCTCATTAGGCTAGCGTCTGATTTTTATTGAATTCAAATCTGCTACAATGGGATTTAAACTTATGTCTCACAATCTGAGCCTGGGGTTCTTGGTTACTAGTCCACCGATGTTACCACTACGTTACTGCCGTCTCCTGACCATAACCGTCTTTAAATAAGTGAACTCCATTCACATAGGTACAATTCCAAGAAATCTGTCTTTAGCTGATGAGGCTTCCATCCTTATCTAAGGTTAGGGATATTAACGCTGTTTCATACTACAACGTCAAGAGGTCTTTGCGTTTTTTTTTATCTCGAGGACTTGCTCCTAATGGTCGTTTCAAAATCTGTTGATTCAGTGAGGGAGAAAGGGAGAGTGGGAGAGTAGGCGAGAAGGTGTAAGAGCGGGATAGGGATTAAAGACCTAAATGAAAGAAGGGAGGGAGAAAAGGGCAATGGAACAAGGGAAGGAGCAGGATAGAAAAGACAGAAGGTAGTTTGGGGGAGGGGAAGGGAAAACGAAGGAGAAACAAAAAGCAAAAGAGCGGGGAAACCTGCATAACTATACATCTGCTTATAAACAGCACTATGTATCAACGTACCTATCCCATTGTGTCTATCCATCTGCCTCTTGTCTACCGATATATCTGATTTTCCCTTTTGTTTGTCTTTCTCTTCACGACTCTCTCTGTCTACTGACCATTTATCTTTAATTAGACCTAGTTAGGCGACAGTTTCTGCGTGCTACAGGACGAGTTTTTGCAGCGCAGTCCAGCAGGAGTGTTGCACTGTGCATCACTGGAGGCACAGAAATATCGAGCCGTATCACCAGGCTGCACCTTTTCTATTTTCAGATCGAAAGAGCCGCCGGCAGTCTTTTTGGCGTTGAACCGATCTGAGATCTCGTCCGACCTTGTCGGTTCAGTTTCCTGAAAAGCGTGCAGGATGTACTGGAGACCCTTGCCAGGGAACTGTCTGTACCAATACATGTAACTATCAGTCCCATATTGGATGCACGGGATTGACACAGATTCGCCTTTTCCCACGGAGAAATACTCCTGGACCTGTACAATCTTCTGAGACTCTCCGCGTCCTTAAAGCAAAAGAAGGAAAAAAAAATTAAATATTTGATTTTCATTGACTGATATTTCACTTCTCACACACTCTCCCATTCTAGATCAATGGAAGTATATCCTGCAATCCAATTGAGGCAACTAGCCGAGAGCCGAGATGGATGGAAGAAAAAAAGCATTGCATGTTGAAGCTAAGTGGTCCTTGGTCACATCAGGCAGCATAACTGCACGCTGAGAAACGCTAAAATTTTCTAGCTGGCAGTCACTCCAAAACGGAAACATTATTAGGTGCATATATTAAGGGTACATAGCTGAGGCAAATAAATGAAATAAAACTACACTTCATTCGCGATCGGATTGAATGACGGAGCTGGCTTTTGAGGGGTTGAATGGTTCGGCATTGTTCTTAAGTTTGTTTTTTAATAGACAAACCTGTTCTCCATTAAGGCTTCATTGTTTTGTCATTTTGTTTTTGTCAAAATCGGTACTACAGACTCGTAACAGAGCCATGGGCGCTTGTAGTGCATTTGGAGGCCAGTTGACTCAGCAAAGTCGGCATTGTAACTGAGATTGAAATGAGAAATGCCACTCGCTGGTTCAAAATACATAAGGACAAACCTGTACGTCTAGCGCGCATCTAACTAACAGTATTTATGTATTAGATTTGCTACTGAATGTATACACACTGTTTGTTTAACAGCCGGTCATCTTCAAAAAATTCTCTCTCCTCTTCTTGTCCATTTTTTCTACCTTCTTCCTCTCTGGCTCATTCTCTCGTTCTTTTCCATACTTCTTTAATTTTCCCTTACTATCTTTTTTATTACTTGGTCGGCGGGATATACAACACATTTTGTCTCCAACTCCTAAACAATCCTATGACATCGCTCTCCTCCATTACTCACCCATCATGAGCAGCAGTTGTGACGCGCAGAACAAGAGCCAAGTGCGCATGGTACGTTAAAATACGTCTGACAGCAGGACACTTAAGGGCAATTCGCAGCTCAGAGATAGTACGCTGCTGTTTGCGAGCGTAGAATTGACTGGTGTAAAGGAGAGCAGACGGCATAAAAATAACAACCCTGGCTGTACAAAGCCGCATTCCCCCTCTGATTGACATCCCCAACGTCATTCTCTTGTGGGTAGCCCCGCCCTCGTTCTGTCTTCGTAAAAGACCAGATCTTAATCGACATTCAGGAACGTTCTTCTGAAATGGATTGTTCCTCCCACTTCTTAACATGTCACCTCACTCAAGGACCGTGCCTTTAACTTCTCAACGACAGAGATACTGAGAGGGTAAAATTTGTTTCCGTTTCAGCTGTAAACATTCGGCTGGGATCTAATTCAAGACATAGTCCGGAGCAAATGGGCATTGTTTTAAATTTAGGGTTGACAAGAGAAACACAACTTCAAGTAAAGGCTGGAGGTCGTCGCATGGCGCAATGGATAAGGCATCTGATCTCGGTGTTTGATGGCAAGCAGAAGATTGCAGGTTCAAGCCTAGTTGTGTACTCGAGTGGCACAATAATAATGTCGCCACATCTACATCACGCCACCGCAGGTTCAAGTCCAACTTAAGCCAGAGGTCTGTAGTAAGATTCCTGAGCAGGTTGATTAGAAAATGTCCTAATCAAAGTGTGGTGTAATCATAAAAAAAGTCTATCAACTGACACAATGAATTCCGAGGGTTCATAGAAGATTTCAATTATGTGATTACTGAGTGTCTATTAAATAGGTGTATTAAAAGTAACTGAAGTAAAGTAGATAAACGTCTTCAAGTCCGAAATGGTAGAATTTGACTTCAATAAATATCTGGAATTAAATGCCAGAACAGGATAAAGGCGGCTGATTCATCTATTCATATGCTAAAGACTCTAAACTATCGTTCTCCTCTTATATAATAGGTTGGAGGGAGCTGAAAGGCTCCCCAGATCTTCTGTGTAATAGGCACGTGTGTGTCTCCGTCCGACTCCTGTTTCTGTGCAACAAGTTAATGGAAGCAGAATGGACCTCCTCTTGTTCCTCTCTTAAGAAGCTCAAGAGTGGCTGAATGTCTCTCTATTGTTCCTGTATAACCGACTTCAGACGCGCTTAACGGGTTCCCTCCTGTTCCTGTATAACAACCTCCATAAGCTGATCGGGATTACTCCTTTACGTGTGTAACAGACTCAAGAGAGGCGAAATGACCTTCTCCACTTTGTCGCTAACGCAGCCGAAGATTTGAATGATATCCTCCTGTTCATTTATTCTGATTAAACCACCTTTTAAATGCCCTTTCACCGTTATTCAATCGCAGTCACCGTTGTTCCTGTGGAGAATGCAAACATAGCATAAATGTATTAAAGGTCCCGAAGTTTCTTTCTTCCTGTCTATGAGAAGATTAAAGCAGTTCGGAGTGAATTTAAGAGGTTAGGTAGAAGATTAATAAATAGAACCTTGAAAGTAGTATTTTCTGGTTTATTCCCTATTCCAAACTCAAACGAAAGAAGGAACAAAAGGTTAGAGGAGATAAATCAATGGCTGAAGAGCTGGTGTATTGTTTAGGGATGCAGGTTTTTGGACAATTGGAATGTGTTTTGGGATAGAAAAGTCCTGTTCAAAAAGGATGGGTCGAGACAAAATTGGAAAGAGACCAATACCTTAGCAGGAAGATTTCCTCATTCCATTAAAGGAAACTTTATGCTGCCAAAGAGGGGAAGTGGGGAAATGGGGAGTTGGCCTAGTGGTGTTATCGCTGCTCTGTTAATCCAGAGACCCGGGTAATGTTCTGAGGACCTGGGTTCAAATCCCACCATGGCAGATGGCAGATGGCAGAATTTGACTTCAATAAATATCTGGAATTAAGAGTCTAGTGATGACTATGAATCCATTGCCATTGCCATTGCCATCTGGTTCACTAATGCCCTCTAGGGAAGGAAACTGCCATCTTTACCTGGTCTGGCCTACATGTGACTCCAGACCCACAGCAATGCGGTTGACTCATACTCGGCATTTAGGCATTTAGGGATTGGCAATAAATGCTGGCCCAGCTAGCGACATCTTCATCTGATGAATGAATGAAACAAATACAAAATAAAAACAAATTCTAAGTAGCAGTTTAAACAGACGGATTGAGGGACAAGGTTCAAAATATGAGAAGATCTCTGGATCTGAGGAGAGCACGTCAATTGGAAAAGAAAGACAAGAGAGGGTCAAAGTCTGTAGTAACTCTGAAGAAACGCATTTATGTGGGAGTCTTACAGGTAAGGCCGATAACTCAGGGCATGTTTAGGAACAGGGGATTGGGATGTCATAGATATTACAGAAACTTGGCTGAAAGATGGAAAAGACTGGCAGCTCAATGTTCCAGGTTTTAGATGCTATAGAAAGGATAGAAAAAGAGGCAAGAAAGTAGGGGATGGGTGGACTGGGGCGTTTTTGATTAAAGAATGTATTACTGCTGTAAATTGGGAAGATATTTCTGAAAAACCGTCCAGTGAAAACATATGAGCAGACATTACAATTAAGAAAGTTAAGATCACTTTAATAGGATTGCACAATAGGCCCCCCAATAGTAAGAGGAAAATTGAGAAACAAATATGTAGGGAGACCTCAGATATATGTAAGCATAATAAGGTTGTAATAATGGGGGATTTTAATTTTCCAAACATTGACTGGTGCTACCATAGTGTTTGTGAAGAATTTATCAAATGTGTTCAAGCAAATTTTCTTTACCAATGTGTGGACGCTCTTACTAAAAAAGGAGCAAAACTAGACCTTCTTTTGGGCAATAAGGCAGGGCAGGTGACTGAATTAAAAGTGGGATAACACTTTGGGTCTAGTGATCATAATTCTATTAGTTTCAAAATGGTCATGGAAAAGGCTAAGCCTTCCATAAAAGTTAAAGATTTTTTAACTGGAATAAGGCAAACTTTAATGGCATGAGACAAGAACTTTCAAAAGTTGATTGGAGTAGACAGTTTGCAGGTAAAAGGGCGTCTGACAAGTGAGAGACATTCAAAAGTATGACAAGAATTCAGAGGCATTTTGTTCCTGTTGGAGTGAAGGGGAAGGCTGATAAAATTAAAGAAGAATGGATGACTAAAGATATTGAGGTTCTAGTCAAGAATAAAAGAGAATCTTATTTTAGAAGTAGACAACTTGGTTCAATTGAATCTCTAAATCAATATCAAGAGTGTAGGGGCGTTCTTAAGAGAAAAATCATGAAGGCAATGAGGGGATATGAGATAGCATTGGCAGATAAGGTTAAGGATGATCCAAAGATATTCTACAAATACATTAAGATGAAGAGGATAACTAGAGATTGTAGGGCCTCTTAAAGATCAATGAGGTCGTCCTTGTCTTGAACTCCAAGAGATGGGAGCGATACTAAATGAATATTTCGCGGTAGTTTTTACTGTGGATAAAGAAATGGAGTCGATAAAATGCAGAGAAATGAACTTTGATTGTTTAAAAACCGTTCACATTACAGAAGAGGAAGTTCAGGACGTCTTAGAGAATATTTAAAGTGGGTAAATCTCCGGGACTTGATCTAATGTATCCCAGAACATTGTGGGAAGTAAGGGAGGAAATTACGAGACCCCTTGCAGAAATATTTGCATCATGTATAACTACAGGTGAGATACCTGATAACTGGAGAGTGGCGAATGTTGTACTTTTGTTTCAGAAAGGTTACAAGGAGAAACCGAGGAACTATAGACCTGTGAGTCTGATTTTGCTTGTGGGTAAATTGTTGGATGTTATTATAAAAGATAGGATTTATGGATATTTAGAGAGACAATAATTGATTAAGGATAGTCAGCATGGTGTCGTGTGAGGAAAATCGTGTCTCACAAACTTGATTGAGTTTTTTGAGGAAGTTACCAAAAAGATTGAGGATGGCAAAGCATTAGACTTTATTTATTTGGATTTTAGTAAAGCTTTTGACAAGATTCCGCATGGTAGACTAATTAGTAAGGTTAGGTCACATGGGATTCAGAATGAGGTTGCCAATTGTTTAACGACAGGAGACGGAGCATAATGGTGGAGGGTTGCTTTTCAGACTGGAGGCTTGTGACCAGCAGTGTTCCTCAGGGATTGGTTGTGGGTCCTCTTGTTTGTCATTTCTATAAATTATTTGGTTGACAATATAGAAGGCATGGTTAGTAAGTTTGTGGATGATAACAAAATTGGTGGCGTAGTAGGCAGTGAAGACGTTTTCCTAAAATTACAAAAAGATCTTGATCAAATGGGTCAATGGGCTGAAAATGGCAGATGGATTTCAATCTAGATAAATGCGAGGTATTGCATTTTGGTACAACAAAGAAGGGTAGGGCTTATACAATTAATGGTAGGGCCTTGGGTAGTGTTGTAGAACAAAGGGACCTAGGGGTGCAGTATATAATTCTTTGAAGTTTGCATCACATATAGACAGGATGGTTGAGAAGGCATTTGGTATGCTTGCCTTCATTGATCAGTCCTTTGAGTAATGGAATTGGAATGTTATGTTGTGATTGTACAGTACATTGGTGAGGCCTCTTCTAGAATACTGTATCTAGTTCTGGTCGCCCAGTTATAGAAAGGATATTATCAAGCTGGAGAGGGTTCAGAAAAGATTTGCCGGGATGTTGCTGGGTATGGAATGTTTAAGTTATAATGAAAGGTTGGATAGGCTGGGACTTTTTTTACGGGAGCATGAAGGTTGAGAGGGGACCTGATAGAAGTTTATAAAATAATGAGAGGTATAGATGGAGTTAATGGTAGTTGTCTTTTCCCTAGGGTGGGTGATTTCAAGACTAGGGAGCACATTTTTAAGGTGAAAGAAGAGCCATTTTAAAAAAAGGCATGGGGGCAATTTTTTTACACAGAGGCTGGCTCGTGTGTGGAATGAACTTCCTGATGAAGTGGCGAACGTGGTATAATTACAACGTTTAAAAGACATTTGGATGGATACATGACTAGGAAAGGTTCGGAGGGATATAGGCCAGGTGCAGGCAGGTGGGACTAGTTTAGTTTGGGATTATGTTCAATATGGACTGGTTGGACAGAAGGGTCT